TATCGTACGTGAGGCAACCTATTAAAGTGTCTTCTTAATGTGTTTTCCTATTTCTTTAATGAAGACTCTTGGTAATATTGGATTACGAAATATCTCAACTCTTTTATTTCTTTTAAGACTAATATAAATATACATATATATATATATATATATATATATATATATAATAAAATAGGACTAGGCTAAAGGGTGCCTGGGAGGGTGAATGAGTGGAAAAGTGAGTAAGCAAAGATAAAAGTTTGTAAGTTAATATACCGGGTGAGGCATTTAATATAGGCCACTTGAATAACTCGATTGCTATTGATTATAGAAAAAGTGTGTCACACAAAACTTACTTGATTTCGAAACGTACATAATCCCATGTTACCTACGTCTAATCTATTTACTATGTTACTTATTTTTTAATATTATTTCTGTGGTAAAAAGAGATAAAAGGGTAGTAATAAACACCCTAACATAGCTCAAACTACGCGTCTATTTAAAAAATCGGAGCTGACTTTTATATATCCTCTAAATTTCAACCTATAAAAAAATGATTAACCAGGGATTATGCCACCCTCGAAACCAAGTAAGTTCTACCTAGCATATTTTTTTCTATCACCAATAGCAATCGAATTATTTTAGGGGTGCACTGTTTTAAATAATATTTGCATACATTTTCAAATAATTAGAAAAATTTCCAAGTTTCGAAACTTCGTAATATTTATTTCGAAATATTATTTGATATTTCTCTATTAATTTTTTAATTATAAACGTTTTTTATTTTTTTAATTTCCTTTAATATACAATAATATTATTTTTCTTATTCTTTTGTTTTGCATAATGAATATCATGCATTAAATAAAAACTTCTTTTTACAAGTTTTTCCTTTTTTTGTAATTCTATTTCATATTCTTCTTTTCCTAACTAGTGTTGTATCAAGTAAAAAGCGTAGGCGTTTATCATTGCTGGCAATATTTCAAGAGTACACAGTTAGGCAAATGTAGCGAGTCAAGCAGGCCAAATGAAAGAACGAGTGAAAGAAAAAGAAAGAGAAAGAAAACGAAGAAAATAAAGAAAGAGATAGAGAGAGAAAATACTTGGATCTTGGTTCTTTCGTTTTCGTCACGTACGAACAATAGCCGGGTAGTACTCAATTGTTAGCGACATTTTTTTTATATGAACAGGTAGGTTACTGTATCAAGGCCGACGTTCATTCGAAAGCTAATTGTAAATTACATATTTAATATTAAAGATGGTTTCACACAATAATACAAGTACGACGAAACACGTATCCTAAATTACAATATATTTTTTATAAACACTTTAAAATATTTATAATAATAATTATCGTAAGGTTTAATTATCGTCCGAAGATCAATGCAGAAAAGAAAACGAGAGTGGTTGTGTAAAAGTTGAATTCCACGATTTGAGAAAACGTGCGACAACCAACGGACACGTGCATCTGTTAATTGAATTTTTTTTCGTGATCTTATTGAGGCCTAAAATGTATTACATATTAAATGAAAGCCTTCAGATAATAAGAGTATTATTATCGATTATTATGAAATATTAGAAAAACAAATGAATAGGCTAGAATATAAAGATAAAATGAAATGAGAATAAAGAGTAAACAAAGTTACACAAAACGAAGAAAAAATGGAATATTGACATACACGCATGCATACGTACTTACTATAAAATCAAATCTATTTTGTTAGTATGAATGGAAGCGTTACTATATTAGATATAAAAGCGCGGAAGAAAAAGAGAAACTTGCGTTGTGCATAAACGTGGGTAGTCTCACATGCGTTCTACCTTTGATGGTAGACTCCATACATAAATAATCAAGCTGGCCTAGCATCGTTCGCCAACTTGTGAATGCAACTTTGTTCTAGCTAGTTCCTAGGAGGCGTTTACGTAGCTCCGGTTAAAAAATAAACTAAAATCGATCGCCATTAGAAAAATATTTCAATGCACACGTGAATCTGTGTGCGTGACAAATTTATATATATATTAAATTAATGAAATAAACACATATTATATAGAAAAGATTCGGTTCGTTTAGAAAGCGTTTTGTTAAATTTAATAAAAACACAGATTGAAAGAAATCAAATTATTAACATTCGGAAAAAATAAAACAAAATTGTTAATTTTTAAAAAAGAAAAATATACATACACAATCATAAATTGCATAATAAACAAATAAATGAATAAATACGTAATTTTCGTATACGAGAAAGTTAAACGAAAGAACGAATATGGGATTCGCAATTTAATAGGACGTTTGCTTCGCAAACGTTGCTAGATACAAAGTTCAACAGTGACAGTGCAGCTTATTGTTCCCTTGTGACATATAACGCTGTTAAACGAATATATGCATGTAACGCAACGATCTAGCTAGGATGACTCTTTAAGTCAGACGAAACAATATATCACTATAAGACGTCTCTCTTTGATAACGTTTAAAAGTAGCATCAGTATACCGATAATGTGGCACGATTTAGACGTTATTTGAATCAGAGTTAGGGTTTCCTAGTAACTTCAAAAACTTTCTCGATATCTTCAAAGACCGCATTGAGACTACAGATCGGTTATTGGAATCGATAAAGGTGCAATTAGAGAACTTTTACTTTCGACCTAGATTCGATAGGGGGTACGCCCTGAAATAACTCGAGTGTATCCGAAAATACACGAACCGAACGATATATTGCTTATATACATATGCAAAATATTTCTTGGCTAAATTGTGTCAGTATTTTTTTTACTAATAGAAATAAGAAAAAAATCTTATATAAAAAAATAGACTTATAAATAATTTATTAAAAAGCTATAACACACGAAAACGGGTGGCAAAAAAAAAACTTGGACTGCACATGCAATATTTATGGTCGTATTTTTCTTCGCAAATGCACACGCGCATGTATAATTTCTCTTTTGCAAATTCACACATGCGCATGTATTATGTTGTATTTTATTTTTTCGCAAACGCGCACGCACGTACATTATTGTGTTTCTACGAAAAAAAAAAAAGGAAAAATAAGGAAAGAAAAGCGCGCATAGATAGCCCACATTGAATCATTCATCTTATTAACATTTCTTTTTCTTTTTGTTTGAAACTTCAATAAAAGAAAAAGAACATACGGTTACGTTAGATTTGCGTGAATCATCAGATTTCTAAGTCTTAGTTTTTTTTTCTCTTTCGTTTTATATCAATTTATATCCCTTAACGACAATAGGATTGGCCTGGATCGATAAACACGAACAGCACAATGGGCCAAACGAAATTTTTCTCTGCCATAATCGTCTCGATTCACACAAGCGAATGAACATTCTAATCCGATGATATAAAAAAAAAAAAGAAAGAAGAAAAGAGAGAAAAAACGACACTCTTTTTCTCTATGTGTCTATCGTTAGGGGAAAAGACTAACCGAGAAAGAGAAGATACTCTCCGATCCATCGAGCCGACAATTCGATTATCCGTGTGATTGGATTTTCCCTGGTGTCCATCAGGAGTAAATTATTTCGTAGTATGCCGTTAAAGTGAGGAGAACGAATCGGGATTTGTTGCTTACTTACTGGACGTCACAAAGCTTCACATCCAATATTTCTTATATATATTCTTTATCTTCATCCAAATAATAATAGATCTTTTCGTATATACATATATACAAATTCTTGATAATGATTGAGACTGATCGTTGCATTACTCACAAATAATGATAAATAATTTCGTATGTACCAAATTTGATGCTTTTTTAAAAATACAACAATCTAACTAGTTTAGAAAAATACTAACGAAACATGTTCTAATGAAATATCATTTGTAAAGATTCAATATTAATAAAAGGAAGTATATCAAAAAGACAGAATCAATCGTAGCATGCAAAGTGGTTGTTCATGTGATACTATAATTATTAAAGTTAAAAAAAAGAATAGTTAAACGACGATGACAAAAATTGTTCAACATTCAAATAACACATTATGCTCTTAACCATAGAAAAAAAAATGTAAAGTGAGAACCTAGGCAAATATAAAAAGTTAATAAGTAAAATAACGAGCAGACAAAAGTAACATTCTTGTAAACTTGCTAGAACATTTCATTTCTAATTTATGCATACTACACACGTCCTATTTGAAATATATACACATACACTTATATTCTCTACGCATCAGGATTATCATGCAGAAGGGGACGCACGTGTAGTCAGAAGGGATGATTTACGTGTGTGCATGTTTAAACGTCACGTGCAACCATGTCAAATTAAAGTTGAGTACATCAAATAAAGAGTTCTTTTTATTTCTCTTCTTTAAATTCAATATTCTTTCCAATTCACGATAAGAAATATAAAGATAACGCAGTGAATTAATAAAAAAAAAAACTTTTGAAACAAAATTTACATATAAAAAATAGAAACAATTACATTTCAGTTCTAAACTCTATATACGTTCAGCAATTACCCATTGCTAAAAATAATAACTAGAATGATCGTTTTATAAACAACCGAAATATGAAGTCAAAACGTTAACTGTAGTATGCGAATATTTTGTGGAGTCACTGTATGCGTAGAAAAGTAAAAAATGCAGTGTAACTATTCTGGAAATGTAAGAAAATGTCCTCTGCTCGTATGTAATTTTGGCATTCCGCATTCCACGTTACTTTGCAAAACATATTATTCTGGAAGAAAATTATAAAAGAGAATTATTGTACACGTCTGTTTAAAATATACATAGAAATAAGTTCTCAGCGTTTCGAGTTACTACGAACTGTTTCGTCACTCGTATTAATTAATCAATTACCAGCATAAGTGGTTAACAGACTGAATGTTTAAATGTAAGGAAAAATGGGGACATAAACAGTTGCATAACGTTATCATTTGATCCGATCATGTGTTTAAACAAAAAATGACGTAAATGAAAAAGAGAGATAGAAAGAGATATTTATAGAAGATAGATAGATAGATAGAATGATGAGACAGAAAAGAATTAGAATGAGAAAAAGAGAGACTCATGCGACTCACCAATGCTTGGGCGGCGCTCTGGTGCTGCAAGCAAGAAACACCCAGTTACAATCACAATTATGCCAGTCTATTGAGTATTTTTTTCAATAATTTTTTCATGTTTTTTATTTTCTTTTTTTTGGTTTCTTCTTTTCTTCTCGATAATTTGGCTTACGACAAGGAGAAACGATTATACAATTAAATAAGTGCAGTGCTTACGAAAGCGGTTCACATCGAATCGTACATACGCAAATGTTTTGTTGTTGTGTGAAATTTGTAAAAGCTTGAGAAATAACGAGCTTTTTTTATTTATATAAATAAAAATTAGAAGAAGAAGAAAAAGAGGTAGTAAGAAAAATAGAAGCATCAACACAGCGGAATTGTTGTAAATGAAATGTCAAAGTTCGTAAAATAATAACGATAACGATTCGATAACATGCACATTGTGGAATGATATGATTTTATATTCAATGTCTCTACGATTACTACTGATAATTATAGGTTTGAGTTTGGTAATTGGTAATGTGCAACGTGACTAATTCACGACAACGAACTTCAATAGAAATTGAATAGGACTGTTACAATGATATAAATCTGTTTCGACGTATAGAAAGTGGGGTAGAATTCCGCTGCATTTACATTTACGCAAATGTTGTGTTAGGAAATGAAATGCGTATTAAAAGACAAGGATAGAAAAAAGGAATTATTCATTATCTTATAATTATATGTATTTATAATAAATCGATGAGATGGAAGCAGAAAGACGAGAGAGAGAGAAGAATTAAATGATAATTAAAGATAATATAATATCAATAGAAGAATAAACATTGAATTATTATAAATGACGTTTGCATCCAAACGGATTAATTATTATTAAACATTATGTCAATACCTCTCATTGTCAGTGCATGTTATAATAAATATAAATAACGTTAATAAAAAAGATATATTTATTAAGTCAAAAGAGTGTGCCAATACTAAGATGGACCAAAAGTGTTTCTAGATGATTTTAAAAATCAATTACTTTTACTATATACATTTACAAGACATTTTCCAAGTTTGTGGGTTTACAATTTAAACAAAAAAAGTTAGTCTAAAAAGTCTTGAGAAAAAGTAATTGATTTTTGAAATCTTCTAGGAACTTTAGACCCATCCTGTATTGTACATGGTAAGTAAATAAAAAAAAAAAGAAGATAGTAAGTTTAAATACGTATTTATTTCAGACCATAAACGATATAAACGATCTGAAAATTACAGGTAAGTCCTGAAAAAGGCTAGTAAGCGTCGAAATTGCTCGTCCCCATTGGTAAAAACAATCTCGTTAATAGTGAACCTGGAAGATTGACCCGAAGTTTTCAATTAAGATGCTCACGGGGATGCGACTGACTCTAAAAGCCAACTCCCCAAGGAAATTACAATAAAGTTGCGGAACACGCGCCTTTCCTCGTTTTTGCTCTTATCATTTTCGTGGATAACGAGAGACCGGCTAAACGTTCATTTTTTTTTATTTTCAAACCATCGTTGGGATTTAACCAACGCAAAATTAGCTTCTAACCAGTAGCCAACTTTAATTTATCTCTTTAGCTAAGTTCTACTCAATCAAAAATTGTTAAATCTATTTAATGAATATATTTCATATATTTGTAACATTTATACTTTTTAAGAAGGAAATGTAAATTTTACAAATAAAGTAACTGAAATAACACCGATATTTAATATTAAGACACTCACAGGAACTTGAAATAATTTAGTAGAAAAATATATTTAATATATTCATAGAGAGAGAAATAGACAAGGTAAGAGTGAGAAAGAAATAAAGAAAGATAGATAGATAGATAGAGTTAGGTCAAACAGAAATATAGGACATATATTCAGCCAAAATGTTGTAGCAAGAGGTAGTCATTAGTTTGTGGTTAGAGTGAGCGTGTCCTACGTTTAACTGCAATAATTACAGTTGATCCGGCTGAACCACGTCTGCGGATTATCGTTTAACTTAATTCACCACACATATCATGAGAACGAGAAGCTGGAATACTGGAGAGGATTGAAGAAGGTTGGATCGCGTGCGTAATTTCAATTTCCATATCACGGTAGACTCTTAACTACCCTCAGAGACAGAAAGGAGGGGAAGGTAAATCGTAGAACGAACAATAGGCGATTTCAATAAAATATCACCTCTCTTCAGTGCAAACGGTTCATTTTTTTTCTTTTATTCTTTTTTCAAAATTGTATTTAACTACATGGTGTGTTCAGACAAATTAATTAAAAGAACAAAAAAATCAACGTAAATAGAAATAATAAATAAGCACGAAATTATTAATATAAAAATGGAAAAAGTTAAAATGAAAGGTATTATTATTTTGGCAAATAAAATTAGAATAACATTGAAACATTTTTAGTAGACTGTTAAGGAGTGCCTACTCAAAACGAGACTCGAATGTTAACGTTCTAAACTACCTTCTCTAATTCGTTGGATCTCGTTTGCGGTTTAGAGAGGTTACACATGTACGATATCACTATGACCAGCTCTTTCCACTTGGTGGCATGTCAAAGAAAGCCACGATTAAGGCTGCTTTAACATATAGCTTTTTAGATTATCTTTCAATTTACTTGGCGCCATCTAACGACAAGGATTGCCTTTCTGATTTACATATTTACAAATTTCCTTCCGTTTAAATATTCATTTCTTTATGTTTTTCTCACTCTTATATCAATTTCTCCACCCGTCCATCATATAATGGATTTATTTATTCATCAAATGTTCATTAATAAATCATACATTTTTAATTCCGCGTGGACGTTAATAAACATAATCATTTAAATGACCAATTAATAAAAATAATGTTAATGTCTATTACAATGGATAATCTATCTCTTTTATTTAAATGCATAGACTATATAAAGATATATATTGTGCATACTCAAATAATATAAATCTGTAGAAAAAGGATTTTTATGTCACGAATCTGCAAACTGTCAGATAAGCTTTCTGCATACATATATTCATATACGAAATACTTATGACGAAGAACTCCAACAACAAATAAACGTTTATGCGAAGAATTCTCTTTGGAAAAGCTTTTATATAAAAATCTTCGAAAAGAACGAAACGCGAAAAAATAAATAAAAAAAAAGCAAATCAAATTATACAACGAATGCGTGAAAAACGAAAAGAAAGTATATTTCGAAGATATCGAATTGTTCTATCCTAAATAGAATAAAAATTATATAAAACAATTCGAATCGAAATATCGTGGATAAAGTTAAGACAAAAGTTATTTTCCTCTAATTAGAAAACCGATAACCATTTGTTTTCTCCTTGTCGAAAGAAAGAAAGAGAAAGTAAGCAAAAAGTTTTTTCGAACGTCGTACTTCATCTTCCGCGACATTTGAGAGAGAAAACAAAATATAAAATAAAATAAAATAATCTAAAGTAGAGAGAGCTTGAAAAATAAGACAAAAATTCGAGATTTCCAACTTCGATCTTATTTTCTTTTGTGGCTAGATAAAGAAAAAATCAATATTAACGTGAACAAATAGAACCTGACCTAATCTGACTTAAATATATTTGTAATTGGTAATATTTGGCTGATCAATATTTTAATTCGGAAATTATATTATACTATATATTGCAACTCTGACATAATGTTAATCCTATAATTTTACCATTTAATATTCTTGAATTAATCAATATTACAGGAGGTTTAGTAAAACAAATACCAATATTATTCTTCAAATATAAAATATTAAAAATGCCAAGATTATTTTTCGACCAGCCCCCAATAATACAATAAATTATAATTAAAATCATATATTTTAAAAATATACACACATAGAAATTTCCATACCCCTATCAATTAGTTTTATAATATTTAGCAATAATAAATTCTATTAAATCAAGTTTATCTTAGAATTTATTAAATTGTACTTATCGATGACATCTTTGCGTGCAAATATAATCAAACGATATCTTTTTTCTTTCTTTTTTTTTTTATTATAATAGAGAGCGTTGCTCAATTTCACGTGATAATAAAAAGATAAAAAAAGTTAGCCGTGTCCTTGCAACTCTAGAGATCTTTCCTCTCGTGCTCGTCTCTAGGACGGAGCTCTTCCGGGATTGTGATTGCGGTGAAGTATGTCCTCTCGATAACCAATTTCCCAGACTCCTACTACTCACCCATGGAGGATTCAAAATCGATCTACTCGAAAACGCGAATTGCTTACGAAGTACTACTACTTGCCTTCTTCACGGGAATAAATTCTCTCTTCCTTGGACAACAATGACAATTACTATCGGCTACGGTGAAACTATCCCATCGATGATAATAATCATTTCGTTTCATTCAACGATCGTATGACGTAAAAGATGGTGGATCTTATTTGAATATAAAAGTAGAAAAAAGATATAGAAAAGTGAAAAGAAGTGGAATGAAATGCAGATAAAATAAAAAAAATAACAGAAGAAAAATGTGTTAAAAACGTTGAAACTTTCTGGCAAAAAGATACTCGAAACTAGGTTATCAAAGATAGCATCTAATTTTTGAAGAGAGATAAAAGTACTATAGTTTTTGGGTAGGTACATTAAAAGTACCACTAGCTCCAGGCAAATCGAAGGAACTTAACACGATGATGACGACTTCTTGCTTGGCCTCTGGCACTATCGATGCCCTTGAATTATGATCTTCTTTTTCAATCGCGAAATAATACTTTACGTGCGATGAATAAAATCGAAGCAATTAAAATTATTTGAATTTGTATTCATTTCAATGAATTCACACACATAGATACTTGCTCTTTCTTTGGGAAAATAAATCGAATGAACTGTTTCTGTTTGAAATCGTTGGAACGAGGTTGTACAAAGAATAAACTTCCATCTCATCGACAGGGTATTACTAAATCAAAGTTATTTTTCTGTTTGTTAGTGGAAATCTAATTGTTGTGAAAATTTGAATGAGAAAGAAGCGTGTTGAAGTGGCACGCGATGTCGAATTATTTTCCAAGTTCGTTGTTGAAATATGTGAAAAAGAGAGGAAAGAAATAAGGTGGAATATATAGAAACATAAATATGAAATAGAGAAGATGATAGGAGAGTAGAAAGATAATAAGATAAAGGCATTGTAAAAAGAAGATGATAGTTGGTAACATACCGAGGGCATCAGCTGATCCGTAGACCTCACCCTAGTCACCCTGTTCCTGTAGAGTATCCTCTTGACGAGTTTCTCCATCGGTTGGTTCCACTTCATGAAGCTGACGTATGCCAAGTAGAATCCAAATAGCACGAGGGCCTCGTACCAGTATATATAATTGTCTCGAAAGAAGTAGATCAGGGTGAGTAGGCTAGCGCTATAGAAGGTGCAGTCACGAAATAGTGGCCACCATGTGAGGGATAATACGGTACGGGAAAAAATAGCGCACATGCCGATGACAAATAGAATATTAAATACAGCTGAACCAACGATGGTGCCAATACCAACGTCATCGAAGGAAACGAAAACGCCGATGACCGACGTGAAAAGTTCTGGTGCGGAGCCACCAGCAGCCATAAAGGTGGCACCAGCAACGTCATCGGCAATCTCAAGTTTTTCGATGATCACATCCAACGAGGGTACGAAGAACTCGTCGCAGACGATAGCTAAGGCGACGAACATGTACACGACACCGAGTACGTGAAGTATTACGGCGCCTTGTCGTCGTTGTTGGACGGTAAATAAATCCCTGGGGAATAGCGGAGCCTTTTCCTCGTGATGAATATTGTGAAAAGTGACGTTGGATCCGTCAATTAATGTCATCTCATCACTGTCTTCAAAACTATCGTTATTATTATTATTATTATAATGATTATTATTATTATTATTATTATTAAAAGAAGAATGCATCCAATAGGGCGTAACCGTGCTGGTGCTGGTGCTCGGTACAGAAGGCTGCAGTAAAATTGGATTGTTCGGAGCTGGTCTATGAGCCATCGATGAACTCGGTGCCATCACGAGTAATACGAAGAAAAGCAAAGGCAACACTAGACCTAGAGCGATCGCCGGCGCTCTGCGTTCGCCTACACTCGCCAACATCTTTCTATCAATCTCTTCTGACTTTTTTTCTTCAATCTATCTTATTTATCGCTTGCGTTCTAAAGACGACGACGCGGCGTGCCGCGGCGTGCCGCGAAACCGCTTCTTCTCCTTCTCCTTCTCCTTCTTCTTCTTTTACCTTTACTCTATCACCCCTCTTTCTCACCCTCCCTAGAGGATAAGGAAAAGAGAGGAGACACGGTTCCTCCTTCGACGGCGCCGCTCCTAGCGCTCGCAGCGCGCGCCTCTTCTTCCTCCTACACCCCCGCCCTTTTACTCCAGCAGCTCTACCAACTCTCTCCAACACTTTTATTTCTCTTATCTCCCTCCCTCTCCCTCTCCCTCTCCCTCTCCCTCACTCTTTTTTCGTCACGTCGTATATACCTACAAAATCTAGCCTAAAATATTAACTAATATGATCTAGTCATGTTGATTACACGATCAAATGTCTCTCACAAATCACTCTTTATTTTTGTTTCGTTAGCTCTCTCTTTTTAGAATGAAACCACCGACAAATACCGGAGGTCCAAAAATGAGATCGACCGTGACACGACGCGTAATATTATCGTTAGCACCTTCACTATAAACGTCTTCGTCACTGGTACCAAATACTCGCTACCGATGCCCTCGCAATACCTCCTCCTCCTTCTCCTTCTGCTTTTTCCCAGCGGCGTCGTCGTCGTCGTCGTCGTCGTCGTCGTCGTCGTCGTCGTCGTTAAAGTTTTGGTCGTGGTCTTTGCCGTCGTCGCCGTTTTGGTCCTCGTCCTCGTCCTCGCCCTCGCCCTCGCCCTCGTCCTCGTCCCCGTCCTCGTCGTCGTTGTCGTTGTTGTCCCCGTCGTCGTCGTCGTCGTCGTTTCCGTCTCCGTCTCCGTCGCCGTCTCCGTCGCCGTCGTGCTCACTGGGATGCGGTGGATGGTGCATATAATCCTAGATTTGTTATACAGGAGCAGCAGAACGGCGCCCCCGCCGCGATGCCCGCCCGCTGCACACTGGAACAACCCTGTTCTCTTCCGTTCTACCCTCTCTCCCTCTCACTTTCAACCCTTCTCTCTCTCTCTCTCTCTCTCTCTTTCCTTCTCTCTAATCCCCACCACTTTATCCACCACCACCACCATCATCACTACCACTACTACCACCATTCTTCTTACTATCTCTCTCTCTCTCTTTGACTAACATCAACATCAGCACAGCACCCTTCTATCCATTTCTCTTTCATCCTCGTAATATCCTCCTTCTTTTTCCTCACGATCGGATCTTCTCTCCTCTTCCTCTTCTTATTCTTTTACTTCACTTATCTCTCTTCATCTTTCTCTACCTCCTCGCCCTCCTCTTAACCCCCACTATTCCGATTTATCCACCACTGGTATTTCTACTATCTATTTTTCTCTCGCTCTCTCTTTCTCTCTCTCTCTCTCTTTTTCTCTTTCTAACATTGACAGCACCCTTTCTATCTTTCTCCATCATTCATTTTCTTTATCATTCTTATTCTATCTTTTACTCTCAAATCGAATTTTTCTTTTTAACCCCGACATTTGATTATCCTTTATTCTTTTTTTTTTCTTTCTTTATACGATACTAAACAACGATATGTTTTTTTTTCTAAAAACAACGAATACTACCCTCCGACCCCTACCCACCATCTTCTTATTTCCTTCATATACTATCTTTTTCTATTTTTCTGAGAATAGAGAAAACTGAAGTAGCCTTCTCTATCCATCTATCTATTTTTCTATCTCTTTTCGATACTCGTCTATCCTTTTCCAGCTTGCTAGACGGAGGAGGGAATCTGCGCACGTGTATGCGTGTGCGCGCGCGCGCGCGCACGCCCTCGCCGGGCTCCCGCTCGATAACGAAGAGTCGACTCGACTCTACGACCCTACGTTACGAATGCACGTATACAGGGTGTTACCTCGAAACCCCACGCGACTACTAACACGTTGTCCTTCTTTCTTCTCTATATATACTTTTTATATACATATACTTATATGTTCCAAAAATTATAACAGAAGACTACTAAATTCAAATATTCTTATATAATTTATTTTATATTATGATTAAACTTACAATCGTGAAATTTTATTGTGTCCACACTACGTAGAGAAGGGGTTAAAAGTCCTGAGTCTAGTATGTAGAGGGCTGTAATAGAATTACACCTGTTATTAAGAGCATTGCCCGACCCATCAGCCGGACGAATATGGGAAATCAAAACTACACACATGGAATACATAAAGGATTAATATATAATACGAAATTATATTTTATTATATTAATATATTGTTCAATTGTTTTTATTTTAGTCCACTGTCATAATTCCTGGCATATACAGGTATGTATCCGAAAATCCGTCGTCAAATTTTTCCTGCGGCTGTGAGCTTTTCCATTGTACGTCTTTTTTTTGCAATTGATTTTATTAAAAATTATTTATTTACCTCGCACCCATCCGATTCGGAGGTTGTATATTCTTTGAATATTCAACCCTTTTCCTTTTTGTTTACTTTCGTCGTAGCTACTGACGAAGTTTACTTTTTGAAGAATTCTTTAAATTCGGTACAAACATACACTTGGAAATATCCTGACGAGTTGAATAAACTAGACTATTTTAAGATCGGTTCTTAAATATTTCCGATCTTGAAAGTTTTGACAAATAAAATAGTATGACAAAAAGGAATCGCGTTTAAAAGGAAAATATTGTATTATCAATTAGTAGTGTCACATATTTTTGTTCTTATTCTATTCTAACGAAGATTATTTGGAAAGTATGAAAATACAAAACTCGTCTAGTATCATATAAGTACATACGTATACATAGATATATTAGATACATACAACGTGAACACGTTTCTCTGCAGCCTACGCAAAGTAAAACAACATTGTCGCGACTGCGTGTTATCTAAATAGAATCTCACCGAGAGATAACTCGTGCACGCAACTTCAACGTCGCTCAGCACACTCTCGCCACGTTACGTCGTTCGTTCACTAATTATCACGAGATATTACTATTTCTTCGTCTTTTTAATATAACTTCATATATCTATCAAACGAACGTTTAAATACAAAAAAAAAAAAAAAAAAAAAAAATAATTCATAATAGTTAATACACATATTTAAAATTAGCAATAGAATGAAATAAAATTGCAATTATGTATAATTAATTAATAATAATAATAATATGTTTTACGATGAATCATATTTTCCAAATTGACCACATTATTTTGATTTGTAAACGCAATAACGTTGGTAATAAAATATTTAGAAATGTACAGAAAGGATATTTGCAACAATTGCATGTCCGTCCTATCAACTTATATGTACCTATGAACTTAACCGCATGGCGCTTTCTTTCGTGATCGATAACGGGCACACGAGCTAAGGAAGCGTGAAAGTTAACTAGTCCATGACCGAAATTCGAATCGAGGGAGGATTGCTCGTGTTACTATTTTTTTTCCGTGGGAAAGAAGGATGATAGTCTATCAGCACTAAGAATCCTGAGTAATTAGGCATCGTTTTAATCTAACAAACGATTTTATCTTATTTCTATTCGAGAAGAACGGCTTTCGTTTGTATAAGATAATTTTACCTAGCTAGTCATACTAGAAAACGTTTTTCAACTCTTACATTAATTAATATAATATATGAATAATTAATGTCATTTAATATGAAATAGAAAATTAAGATTTTCACCAAATCTTGCAAGGTATTGTAGTTGCATTCAATTTATGAAAATAAATTATGCATTACAAGGCTTATTTGTAATACATGAGCTACCTTATAATAACATACTCGATAATAATTTATACTTACAAATTAACATCAAATTTATAAGTCCTCCCTCTTAAATATATTATATTAATATTTAATTTAATAGAGACAATAAAATTTTTTTATATTTTTACAAAACGCACACGTGCGTCCAATATAAATTCACTTATGGGAACATTCTCAACAATAATTTAAAGTTAATGCGAAGAATAAACTATCCTAAGCTTTAACTGACAATGACTGAACTATTTATACGAAAAAACGAATCGACCAACTGAAAAACATAATTATCTTGCAGAAAGAAAAAGAAAGAAGAAGTAAAAAAAAATAAGCAGAAATTATCTTTGAAGCAAATTCCAATTTTCTCATTTCTCTTTAATAACTATAACGACTTCTGGGATGTAACGAAGCGTTTCTTAAAAACAGTCTCAGACACTTTACGTATATACTTTGGATCGCGTTATCTTTACTAATTTAAGTTTCATAATATCACTGCAAATGCGTATGTTAGATTCTAAGCTTCAAGAAACAAAAATACGTGTGATTTTTACAACAAATAGTATATATATTATTTGAACATGATTGTTGGTGTAACTGTATAGGACGTATCCTATCACGATTGAGATTGACGTTTCGTAAAAACAAATAAAACGTCTATGCGTGAGCTTCTAAAATCGATACTCGTTACACACGTCACGAAATAGTTTATATTGAGAACGGGTATAATTCGAAAAAAAAGGATAAAAAAGTAATAAGGGCAAAAAAAGAAAATAAAAAAGAAAAGAAGACGATAAAATTCAAATATTTATCTAACGAATGAATAAATGAATCTAATCATTAGATTATTTTTGTTTGACCGATTTATTCAAATAGGCCGAATAATAATAAAATTCAAAATATCTATTAATCAGTCGATCAATCTCAAGGCCGGTATCTCAAAAGATCGGAAATGAATCAGATGTACGTAATGGACTACATGTGTTGAGTTTAACGCAGAACGTTAAGTACTCCTTCCGGTATTTGGAAATTGACTATATAAGCGATACCACCCTCGAAAGTTCCTACGTCTCTGCATTCGAAACGCAGAACCAGCTCGATTATCGAACGTCCTGCAAGTACCAGCACCAGTACTAGCAGTAGCAACAGTACCACCAGCACCAGCCCCAGCAGCAGTAACTGGAACTACCTCGTCGGCCTAATCCCTTCCATTCCAAAACCCTACCATCCAAAACAGTGAGAGAGAGAGAGAGAGAGAGAGAGTATTCTCAAATAGATGATTTCAACGGTCGTTTCCTCGAACGTATGAGTAGAAAAGCAAGAAAGTAAGAGAACGGAGAGAGAGAAAGAACAAAAAAAAATAGAAAGAGCCTAATTCATAGTCAGTCCATCGCCAATGAACAAGCTGACCTAAATACGTTCCCGCCAAATGTCTCGTAAATCGTCATGAGAACTTAATACCCCCTCCCCACCCACCTTTTCCCTTTTTCTCTTTCATTTTTTGTCTTTTCATCTTGATCGGTTTGCGAGAGATTTGTCTAATGATAAAATTCGTGGATTAATTTGTAAA